TAACTGTTCAGTCCTGCGGAGGGATAACCTAAGAAATATGCTCACCGAATTTAACTTGGCTTTTGCCCTAGAGGTCAACGAGACAATGATACATTTTCTGCCCTCCTATTTTGCTACACCCTCAAAGCTTTTTGCACTCATAACACTATCCTCTTCCTCGCATTTCAGGTAAAGAAAGAAAACGAGTGGTGCGAGGAGAAGTAACCCTTCACCCCTTCACAGATATATAGCACCCCACGTGCCACCACAGCCCTCCTTTCTTACCAACTGCTTGCAGACGCCCTTCACTCCACATCATATCTTAATCGCGCGCAGGCAGGTATACTCATTCATCCAAGCATCTTCACGTACTAAGCGCTATCTTCGTGCGCGTGGTACACAGACCTTACTGCATTCAAGGCTAGGTTCCGAGCACACATTAAATGCAACAAATCGGCCAATTGTAGCGCTGCCCCTCTCTTTTTATCTTTCATTAAAAAAGCTCAGGTTTACACTTCGGATCCGTAATGTGTGCACGCTCCAAAGGGCTCGTTTGTCGAATACTCTTTTATTACTACCAGCGCCAAAATAAACCCCAAAGAACAAGTATGCGAGGAGCAAGATTTGCGGAGTAGTGCCTTTACATTGGAATGTGAACAACTCCGATTTTATAAAAATTAATGTGGTATGCGTTAGGTAAATTTAGCAAACACCAACACAGACAACTTGTAAGCCACCAGTCATTTGGACAATGTGCGGCCAATGTGCAGCCGCTAGTAGATTACGAGAAAGCACAGCCCAGAAGGTGAATACTCGAAGACGTTCTCGGAAATTCATTGATACAAAGGGGCAGCCAATGGGGGATACATGCAGTCTCCAAGGTCAAAACTGGAAAGAGCTTCTTAGATGGCGGGTTTCCTACTACAGTTTTTAACTCAACCGAAAGTGTAAAATGGAAAAAAAATTAGCATACCTCGGCTCCAAGTGTCAGCCGGCTAGTTGTGGGAAATAGTTCTGAGACTAGACGTCCTGGCAAAACGTGTGCTATTAAAAGTGGGTTCATCCGAGCAGGGTCATGAGGCCACCGACTGCAAAGACCACCTTCGTTGTTATCAGGCAAAAGTTTGATACGTTCTAGTTGTCTCTAAGAATGTGGTTTGAAGAAGAAGAAGAATGCTATATTGAGAATTTTACAAACCTGAATTTTCAGCAAAAATGGCTCCATTCACGGAGAGCAGAACAAACCTGAATTTTCAGCAAAAATGGCTCCATTCACGGAGAGCAGATGGTAAGCAAATAAAGGGTCATTTTAAAAGGTCAAAGGTAAAAGGACATGTAATACTCACAAATCAAGTTTTTCACGACATTCAATAGGTTATTTTAAAAGAACAAATGTAAAAGGTCATGTAATACTCACAAGTCAAGTTTCTCATGACATTTACATCAACTATGGAGACATATCGGCTTTCAACTTCTCC